TCGTCTTCACAAATTATGAAGTTTTACCCCAGAGCTAATATACCCTAAGGAAAGCAGAACGTGCAAGGCTGTTGGATGACCTGGGTCTACTCCAGTCTGGGGAACTAATCCCCCGTGTCTGCATTTCAGTGCCCATGGCAGTTCCGAAGACGACCTCAGAGACCCTGAAGCACAAGATCAACCCTTCCGCAGGAGAGACCTTCCCACGCGCCATCGATGTCCTGCTCTACACCCCAGGTGAAGACCATTCCCTGCTTTGTCACTGCTGTTTGTTTTGTTTTTAAATTTTATTGATGTATAGTTGATTTACAGTGTTGTGTTAATTGCTGTACAGCAAAGTGACTCAGCTATACACATAGATACGTTTTTTTTCATATTCTTTTCCATTATGGTTTATCACGGGACATTGAATATAGCTCCCTGTGCTGTACAGTAGGACCTTGTTGTTTATGTCGCTGCTGTGTTTGGAACAATCTGAGAGCTTAAGACTTGTGGTCAGGGTCAGCGCTGAAGTGGAAGGGCAATGGCAGGATGAGGGTGGACGGGGACCAGGTGGTTTTCGACTGTTGGAGGGCGGAACCCTGAGCAATGAGGTGCGGCCCTTCTGTGGACTCAGAGGCTGGAGCGGGGCCGTGAGGGGCTGAGTCCCCGTCCGGCCTTGCCATCCTCACGTCCGGTGGATAAAGGCCCTGCGCTTCTGTCTATGGTCGGATCAAACCCGTTGTCACCAGGATGGGATGGCTGCACCTCCTATGCTGATGTGCACATCTGACAACACGGCTCTTCCTGCTTGGAGTGGTCGGGCGGTCCCACAGACTATCAAGGCCCCTACGAGCTGCGTCAGTGATGACAGCAAGAAGACAGGGTCGCTGCCCAGGCCTGGGGGTAAACAAAGACGGCCGTGTGTCACAGGCGTACAACTGTCCAAATGCTTTTACTTAATTCTGACTTGCAGAGAGTTGCAGCAGAGGGTTGCTCCAAGGTTATAGTGTTGGGAACAAAGGAGCTCAGTTCCGGGCAGAAGAGAGCCTTTGAGTCCGGTCGCCCCGTGTTCGGCCTGTCCGCATCAGGAGTTGGCGGCGGCGTCTGTGCACCCCCGTCCTTCACCCTCCGAGGTTCGTGACCTCGCGGGGCAGTCCAGCGATCCACAGCCAGGAGCTGACGTTCCACACGGTTTCCAATGGGCAAATTGAGTTTCTGTGGCAAAGCAGCCTCCCGGTAGGAGAGTCTATCTCTTCCCTGAATGTCCAGAAGACCCAGTAAAGCAACAGATCTCAGGTGAAAGAGAGTAGAGAGTGGCCGAGCCCATCCCTCTGGAGACTTCATTTATCCAGTCGAGGCTCTCTGTTGATGTCACTCGGCTGTGATAGCACAGACCAAGACACTTTTCATCACGGCATCTGAATAGACGAGCTGTCCTTAGATCTACGCTAGTTTCCCTTAAGTTAAGCCTGACTTAAGACTCTGGGTTTCCTGTCATCATGGGCTAGTTCCCGTCCCTCTGAGAACATCTAGAAGGGCCGGACAATGTATAAAAAAACAAAGGAGAACAGGGGGGCCCCTTTTCCCATGCAGTGGCTGCTGGTACTGGAAACAGTGGCCGAGAGAGCTTTGGCCAACCATGTGGGGTCAGGGGGACGAGCCTGGGGTCAGGACGCACCCGTCAAGAGGCGGGCAACCCCTCCAAGAATTCTGAGAGTCAAGGGAGCCAGGCCCCGGGCACCGAGCCCGGCTTCAGAGCATCCCAGTCTCTGGGGGATTGCAGACTGTGTCTCAGTGGGCAGGATCTCCCCCAAGGGGGCCAGGAGACCAATGGCATGAACACCCCAGAAAGACTGGCAGATTCACACTTCTTGCACTTAGGACGGAGGTGGTGCTACAGAGCAGGGGAGGGGAAAGACGGTCTCCGTCACAGAAGGCGTTGGGCTGTTGTGCATCCGCGTGGAGAATGAAGCTCGACCACACCTCAGATCACACGCGGCCATCACTTCACAGTCTAAACATGAAAGGCAAAAACATAAACAAATGAAACTTGGAGACGATAACATAGAAGAAGATATTCATGACCTTACGGTAAGGAAAAAATTCACAAATAGCATATAAAAAATACTAGCCATAAAGGAACAGACTGGTGAGTTAAGGATTTTTAAAAGAAACTTGCAAATGAGTGAAAGTGGCGGTTGCAGACTGGGACAGGAATATTCACAAGACGAGAGAACCGACAAGGGGCTCGAGTTGGGGATATTTAAAGAACGGCTACAAGTCAAGGAGCATGAGACAGCCCGATTCAGAAATGGGTAGGAGACGTAAAGGCTTCACCACGGAGGAGATCCAGACGGCCGGCTAAAGCCAGCAGCCTCACTGGCATCTGGGAAACGCAAATAAACCACAACTGAAAAACCAAAGTCTTCACGCCGTTAGGATGGCCGAGACGGAGAGCGCTGCCCACCGCCCCACGTTGGCGGTGACGTGAGGCAGCGGGAGCCCAGCTGCCCTCGGGGACGTGGCCACAGGCTCCCTCCTTCCTCTGTCCCTGCGCCCACTTCCCTCTGCCTGAAACGCTGCCCACGAGTGAATCCTCAGGCCTCCCCCAGATCCTGGCTCAGGGAAGCCACCCCCGGGCTCCGTCTGCCTGTGTGTTTCTCTAGCTGGAGCCAGCTTGTCCCCGAGACTCGAAGCTCCGAGGGGCATGGAAGCTCGGGCCGTGCGCACCTTTGGATCCTGGGCACCCAGGGTGGCACCTGGCCGGGCAGGACCTGAGTCATGTATGAGCCACATGCTGATGCAGCAGAGGGTTTCACCGTTTCGGGTTGCTTTTCCTCTTTAGGGCATCTTGACCCAGCAGAAAAAGTTGAGGATGCTCACCCCAAATTATGGTGCGCTCTGAACGAAGGCAAGGTGGTCGTATTCGATGCTTCCTCTTGGACAATTCACCAGCACGGCTTTAAAGTGGGCACTTCCAAACTGGTGAGTAAACGAACGCACACGGTACTCAGTCAGCTTCCAGGTTAACTTGGGATTTTGGAAACTGAACACATCCACCTGTATAGGTAGTGGGATTCACGAATCCCACGGCATCGCTGAATCCTGCGAGTCTTTGATTTTTATCTCAAGTTTTAAAATGTAAGCTTGTTCCATCCTTCACTTAAATGTTCTCCTTTAAGTGAGCAGATAATGGCTTTAACCACCCCCCCGCTCTGAAATCTAAAACAGGATTTCAGTCATGGAAAGGGCAGTGTGGTAGTCTCACATTTACATTGTCAGTCACCAAAAGCAGACACTAGAATCATTTTAACACATTTGGGTTCGAAAACTAAGAACCACTTAAGTCAAATCTGCATGATACTATAGTTATATCGTGGTTGAGAAACCTCAGGTCTTTGAGCTTTTAGACTGATAGCCTAGTCAACTTTAATTAAAAGAAAGTTAAGGGACTTCCCTGGTGGCGCAGTGGTTAAGAATCTGCCTGCCAGTGCAGGGGACACGGGTTCGAGCCCTGGTCCGGGAAGATACTGCCACGGAGCAACTAAGCTCGTGCGCCACAACTACTGAGCCTGCGCTCTAGAGCCCGTGCTCCTCAACAAGAGAAACCACCGCAGTGAGAAGCACGTGCACCACAACAAAGACCCAACACAGCCAAAAATAAAGAAATTAAATAAATTAAAAAAAAAAAAAGTTCATGCAAACACAGCCTCACCCCACCCCCACAAACCCGAGGTCAAGTTTTAGGCCTGTAGCCCTCAGTGCCAGCAGGATCAGCCCCCTGCTTTTTGGAGACTTCTCGAGGCCTTGCACAGCCCTTTGAAAATCATTTCTTATTTCTGTACTACGAGATGTCAGCCATGTGCCCCAGGGCCTCCATGCCTGGAACGGGTCGTGTGAATTCGTGTTTCCAGATGAGGGGTGATCAGTGGTTTCTTTCCGGTGGGGCTGCCTTTTAACTCGGCACTCCAGGTATCTTTGGCGATACCACCCTACTGTTCAAAATGCTGTCACACCTACTCCTTGGTGGGCTTCATCCTGTTCAAGACCCTCTGAGGGCACAAAGGAAGCCACTGTCCCAAGGGGTTTTTGCTAGGAAAATCCTCAGGCCAACTCCTTTAACACAAAACTTCTTTTTTCACGTTTAATGTAAAAAACATGGTGTAGTGAACTTTACGTACCTAAGTGTTCCTCATTACTTCGTATCATCAACTTTGATGGCCATATTCCACCATCTAAAGATAATGTGACAATCTATGCTTTCAAAACTGGGGTGAAACAGAAAAATTGTGAATTCAAATATACGTTGCCAAGAGGGTGCGGGATCATTCTAAAGAAGTTGCTTAACCATTTTCCCCGTGTTCGGATAATGAGCCTCAGATGATAAAGGAACGGAATCCAAGGCACATTAAAGTAAAATATGTGCAAAAGTCTAATAACGCTTTAGATGAAATGAAAAACAAGGAGAAATTAAGGGCTTCACTCTTATTCTAAAATTTAATTTTTTTCCTGTTGATTCTTAGTTACAAGCATTTCAAAGACTGTTTAATAACAGAATAACTTAAAATACTTGTGAAAATAAAATCATATGGTTGCATTTTGTATCAATCTCTTCTGCTCCCCAGTTAGGCCAGGTAACATTTAATTAAAGCAGAAAGTTATCCAATTATGCGAAAATATTTTCCCACTGGTTTCACAGGGATATTTTGTGCTGTTTCAACAAGACAGCAACTGGGGCAGTTCTCTCTAGAAAATGCCGCCTCATCTGAAATTTGAAGTTCCAAGTGGTTTATCTAAGATATCTTTGGGCCACCAAAGAAATTTTACTAAAATGTTACAACAATTCTCAGGTAGATGCCTCAAAAGAAAGGACTTTTTAAAATGATTAATTCTGAAATGAGCAAGGTAGCATCTTTTTCTAACTTATGAGAATGTTTGTTGGTAAAAGTAAAGCTATCAATTTTTATGAGCTCTTTCTTCTGACAAAGATAAGTACCAGTAAGCACCATCGGTACTGATTATACAGGATTAGATCTCGCCTCAGCCCCTCCACAGTGACGTAACTGTTGCTCTATGAAATCTGCTTGGATCTGACAATCTGAGACCCTCGTTCGGTTACCAGTAAAATGTTGCCCCTATCACGGATAGAGTCGGACACCGCTCAGGAAGCGTTTAGGGAACGGTTTTTTAGGGATGCAGTCGGGTTGGTTGAGATATACAGGCAGACACATTTGCGTTTCACATGTTTTTGTGGCTTTTATAACTCTTCAGTGTTTTAGTTCTTAATTTCTAATTTCAGAAAGTCTGAAGAGAGTCACTGGCATTGACCTTGCTAAGCCGGAATCCCGAGAGCGCCGTTCTCTTAGCTGCAGGAGCACCGGCTAATATACAGTCTGTCCTCATTATCTGCAGATTCCATATTTGCAAATTTACCTACCCGCTAAAATTTATTTGTAGCTCCAGAGCAAATACTTAACGGTGCTTTCATGGTTCTCCACAGACGTGCACGTCTCCAGAGCAGGGAGAAATGGGAGCTGTGTGCGCGTTCCCAGCCGAGCGAGCTCAAGCCGGGCGACTCTGCCTTCTTGGTTCAGCTCAAACTGTAGACACGTGTCCTTTTCACGGCCTATTTAGTGCCACGTTCTTTGCATTTCTGTGCTCTTTATCGTGATTTTGCTGTTTAACATGGTGCCCTAGTATAGAGCTGAGGTGCCAGAGGCTGGAATATGCTTTACAGAGAAAATGTGGACCCATGCAGTTCAAACCTGTGTCGTTCAAGGGTCAGAGGCATCCTTAAACAGGAACACATGGCAAGATGATGTGTTGATCGAATGACAAGAGCGTGACCAGAGGCCGGCAGGACCCTAAGCCTGTCGGTCCCTGAGCAGCAGCTCGGCGCTGGCTGTGAGCGCACGGGACAGAACGACTGCCGGGAACACGGGGAACTGACTGCTCTCCTGCTCTCTCCTCGGCCCCCTCAGAACTGCATGGTGATGGCGGAGCAAAGCCAGATGTGGGTCGGCTCGGAGGACTCGGTCATCTACATCATCAACGTCCACAGCATGTCCTGCAACAAGCAGCTCACGGACCACCGCTCCAGCGTCACGGGTCTGGTCGTGCAGGACAGAGCGCAGGCACCCAGGTCCGGCCAGGCTCCCCTGGGAGGAGGGGCCATCTGGCTCTTGCGTGGGTCAGGGGTCCCAGAGGGAAGGGTTCCCATGGCCTGCAGGGCCTGGGCTGCACAGGGGGAGCAAAGCGGGTCTGGAAGGTGAGTCAGGGACATTCCTGTGTGGTGTGGCCATGATGGGTGCAGAGAAGCGGCCTCTGCTGGAGACCGAGTCCAGCATGCACACTGTGGTGCTCGTAGCAGCTGGCACCCAGCCTTCCTTGCCTGTTCTTTGGCTCTGGTGTTTGCCTGCCATCCTGGGCCTGTAGACGCATCACCCTAACCCCCTGTCTTCTCATGGAATCCCGTGTGCCCGTGTCCAAATGTCCCCTTCTTATGAGGACACAGGTCAATGTTGGATGGGGGTCCACACTATTAGCGGCATTTAACTACTGGAAAGGCCCTGCTGCCAAATAAGGTGGCATTTTGAGGTGTTGGGGGGCTAGGATGTCAACATATCTTTCTTGGGGGACACAGTTCAACCTGTAAGATGTATTTACCTCATCCTTCACCGGCTTTACCAGGTTAAGAATGCAAGCCCCCCAAGGGCAGTCCCATGTCTGTCCTGCTCTCTGCCGTGTCCCGTGCTTGGGACAGGGCCTGGACACAGCACATGCCCAGGGGAGATGTGAGAACCAGGCGGGGTCCCTGTTTCCCTCTGTGAGGAAGCGGGGCTCAGTGGGTGTGTGAGGCATGCTGAGGTCACCCACCCTTAACGGGCAGCCCCAGCCCTGGGCGCACAGCTCCTAAGCTTTTCTGCCGCTTCCCTCTGTGCCACCCCCATCCCCTTGTGCCCCAAGTTTCAGGGGTGCCTCCTGTCCTCAGCCGGGTGGACTTAGGTCCTCACGTGAAGATAACACGCCATCAGGTGGTGGAAGGGCCGTGCACAGCACCAGCTGAGCGCGCCTCCCCACAGCTGCCAGTCACTGGCGCCGTGCTGATCCTTGGACTTAAGCTTGGAGGGGGCATGTGCCATTCCCGGCCCCTGGCGGGAGGGGTGGATTTTAGTTAACAGTCCTTTATGGTTCTGTTCACAATTCCTGGCGGAGCCAATAGCCGTGTTGGAGGTGCCGGGGTGGGCGGGGGGCTCTCAGAAACCCGCCACCCTGACGGCGCTGGCGTCTCTCACTGGCCGTGTTGTGGATGCTTTACCTGGTGGGAACTTGAAAAGGCACACGGTGTTCTCAGGGCCACAGTTAAGCACCTGCACGCGTGTTCACCCCACAGCACTGTGTACTCATGCAGCGCGGACGGGACAGTCCTGGCCTGGAACGCGAGCTCCCTGCGGGTGACCGGCAGGTTCCAGCTGCTGGGTGACGGGCTCTCGGCCATCAGACTGCATGGCGGCCGCCTCTGGTGCTGTAAGTGCTTGGTCCCTGCCCTTGGCTCCTGGCTAACGGCAGGGGAGCCGAGGCCCCCTTCCTCTGCTACACGAGTTTCCAACTTTGACTGTGAAACCCTGGTTCCTTCTTGATGCACGCGGCTCCCCACACCCCTCCTGAGTTTGCTGCGTCCCCGGCGGCCCTACTCCCTGCGCGGCCTCCCCGCCTGCTCCTGTCTCTGCTCTCGCCGTGCCCCAGGGGGCCGTTGCCACTCCTCCCTGCAGCCCTCTGTGGCCCGGTCGTTTGTGTGTGGGTCACATCTCCCCAGCCGTGCTGTGTGCTCCCCTCTGCCCCTCCCAGCACAGACCTCGGGCGGGGACGTCTGTGGGTCTGAGGGGGGGCACTTCTGGGTGTGACGGGGAGGTACAGACACTGTGCCTAGTGACGTGGGTGTTCTGCATTTTCTGAGCATCACCGCATGGAGGTTTTTTGCACTTTGAAGTCTTCCCTGGTGTATGCCAGGTAACACGGGTGATGGTCGTGAACATTTTTTAAATTGCAGCGTTTTACGTATGATGAGATGCACAAAATGTATGTACAGTTTGTTGTGTTTTATATTTTTTATTTTTTATTTTTTGCAGTACACGGGCCTCTCACTGTTGTGGCCTCTCCCGTTGCGGAGCACAGGCTCCGGACGCGCAGGCCCAGCGGCCATGGCTCACGGGCCCAGCCGCTCCGCGGAATGTGGGATCTTCCCGGACCGGGGCACGAACCCGCGTCCCCTGCATCGGCAGGCGGACTCTCAACCATTGCACCACCAGGGAAGCCCTGCCTGTTGTGTTTTTTAAAAATTTTTATTGGAGTATAGTTGACTTACAGTGTTGTGTTAATTTCAGGTTACAGCAAAGTGAATCAGTTATATATATCTCCACTTTTTTTTTTTGGATTCTTTTCCCATTTAGGCCATTACAGAGTATTGAGTAGGGTTCCCTGTGCTATACAGTAGGTTCTTATTAGTTATTTTGTGTATATAGTAGTGTGTATATGTCAATCCCAATCTCCCACTTTATCCCTCCCCCCACGTCCCCTGGTAACCATGTTTGTTTTCTACGTCTGTGACTCTACTTCTGTTTTGTACTTATTGTAAATAAGTTCATTTGTACCTTTCCTTTTAGAGTCTACATGTAAGTGATATCATATGGGATTTGTCTTTCTCTTTCTGACTTAGTATGACAATCTCTAGGTCCATCCATATTGCTGCAAATGGCATCATTTTCTTTTTTAACGGCTGAGTGATACTCCGTTGTATATATGCACCACATCTTCTTTATCCAGTCCTCTGTTGATGGACACTTAGGTTGCTTCCATGTCCTGGCTATTGTAAATAGTGCTGCAATGAACACTGGGTGCATGTATCTTGTTTCAAATTACAGTTTTCTCCAGGTATATACCCAGGTGTGGTACTGCTGGGTCATATGGCAGTTCTATTTTTAGTTTATTAAGGAACCTCCATAGTGGTTGTATCAATTTACATTCCCACCAGCAGTACAAGGGGGTTCCCTTTTCTCCACACCCTCTCCAGCATTTACTGTTTGTAGATTTTTTTAAATTAATTAATTTACTTACTTATTTTTGGCTGTGTTGGGTCTTCGTTGACCCACGTGGGCTTTTCTCTAGTTGCAGTGAGCGGGGGCTACTCTTCGTTGCGGTGCATGGGCTGCTTCTCATTGCGGTGGCTTCTCGTCGCGGAGCACGGGCTCTAGGTGTGCAGGCTTCAGTAGTTGCGGCATGAGGGCTCAGTAGTTGTGGCTCACGGGCTCTAGAGCACGGGCTCAGTAGTTGTGGTGCACGGGCTTAGTTGCTCCGCGGCATGTGCGATCTTCCCGGGCCAGGGCTCCAACCCATGTCCCCTGCATTGGCAGGTGGATTCTTAAGCACTGTGCCACCAGGGAAGCCCTGTAGATTGTTTGATGATGTCCATTCTTAGTGGTGTGAGGTGATACCTTATTGTAGTTTTGATTTGCATTTCTCTAATAACGAGTGATGCTGAGTGTCTTTCATGTGTTTTTTGGCCATCTGTGTGTGTCTTCTTTGGAGGAATGTCTAGATCGTCTGCCCATTTTTTGATTGGGTTATTTGTTTTTTTGATATTGAGCTGCATGAGTTGTTTGTATATTTTGGAAATTAATCCCTTGTCGGTTGCTTCGTTTGCAAATATTTTCTCCCATTCTGAGGGTTGTCTTTTTTGTTTATGGTTTCCTTTGCTGTGCTAAAGCTTTTAAGTTTTATTAGATCCCATTTGTTTATTTTTGTTTTTATTTTCATTACTTTAGGAGATGGGTCAAAAAAGATCTTGCTGCATGCAGTTTATGTCCAAGAGTGTTCTGCCTATGTTTTCCTCTGAAAGTTTTATAAAAAGTGTCCGGCCTTACATTTAGGCCCTTAATCCATTTTGAGTTCATTTTTGTGTATGGTGTTAGAAAATGTTCTAATTTCATTGATTTGCATGTAGCTGTCCAGTTTCCCCAGCACCACTTATTGAAGTGACTGGCTTTCCTCCATTGTATATTCTTGCCTCCCCTGTCATGGATTAGGTGACCATAGGTGCGTGGGTTTATCTCTAGCGTCTCTATCCTGTTCCATTGATCTACATTTCTGTTTTTATGCCAGTACCGTACTGTTCGGTTTGTTGTGTCTTGATGAAAGTATACACCACATAACCACCCGACAATCAAGACCCAGAACATTTCCATCACCGCTGCTGGTCCCTCTGTGCTCCTCTCCAGGTGGCCCCTGCTCGAGGGAAACAACTCCTGAATTCTGTTATGGATTTGTTGTGCTTGTTCCTGAACTTTCTATAAATGGGCTCTACAGCATGTGCTCTTTTCATCTGGCTCAGTCAGGCAACATGACGTTTTTAGGATTCATTCATCCTTTTTTATTGTGTGAATGCTACAGCCTGGTTAGCGGCTCTCCTGGCACTCTTTTCCACACGTTTTATATCCCCAGCAGCGGATATGAGGCTTCCAGTTCCTCCCCGTCCTCAGCAGAACTTGTTATTATCGTAATCATCCTCGTGGGTGTGAAGTGGCATCTCGTCGCGGGTCTGGTTGCATTTCCCCGATGCCTCATGATGTGGAGCATCTTTTCATGGACTGCTCGCCATCCGTGTGTCTTCTTCAGAGAAATGTCTATTCATATCCTGGGCCAATCAGTCTACTCACTTTCAAGGCGATTAATCATATGGTTGAGTGTACCCTACTTATTTTTTTTTCCATTTTTCACATCTGTACTTTTTTCTTTTGTTCCTCCTTTCCTGCCTCCTTTTAGACTGCTCTTAAATTCAAGTTAATCTTCTTTATTGTCTTTTTAGCTCTGTGTTCAGTTTTCTTTTTTGCGGGGGGAGGGGGCCGTGCCACGCAGCATGTGGGATCTTACTTCCCCAGCCAGGGATCGAACGCACGCCCCCTGCAGTGGAAGTGTGGAGTTTTAACCACTGGACTGCCCAGGAAGTCCCTAACTCTGTGTTTTTTGTTCCACTTTTTAGTGGTTGCTTTAAGGATTTCAATGTGCAACCTTACCTTCTCACAATCTACTTTAAATAACTGTCACACACCACTTCATGTATAATGGACACAGAGCACAGCAGTAAAATTAATTCCATTTACCTCTTTCTCTCCCTTTCCTATTGTTGTTAAATGCAGTATTTTATTTCTATGATTGTGATAAAGCTATTTTAAAAAATTCTGCCTAAGTGCTCGATGGTCTTTCAAAGAAATTAAGAAAAAAATTGTTTTAGCCCATATATTTACCATTTCGGGTTGAGCTTCACTCCTTCTTAAAATCCAGGTTTCCATCTTGCATCACTGCCCCTTAGCCTTAAGAATTTCCTGTAGTATTTCTTCCAATATGAGTCTGTTGTAAACAGATTCTAGGCTGATGGTTTTTGTTTTTTCCCCGGCACCCTAGAAATACCATTCCATTGTCTCGTAGCTTAGCTTGTCCCTGGCAGGAGGTCTACCGTCATTCCCGCTGTTCTGCTGAATGTAATGTGATCTCTGTAGCTGCTTTTAAGATTCTGTCTCTGGTTTGCACGAGTTGGACTACAGTGTGCTTGGGTGTGAAGGGCTTTGTGTTTATCTTGCTTGCAGTTTACTCCCTTGAATTTGGGGAAAACTTAACCATTACCTCTTCCATTATTTCTCTTGCCCATTCTCTCTCTCCGTGTCTTCTGGGATTCTAATTATATATTAGTAATATATATTCTAATTATATTATTAGTTAGACCATCTGATAATGTCCCACAGGTCTCAGGCACTGCTATAATTTTTTCCTTCTTTTTCTTGTGTGCTTTAGTCCTGCTAAGACCTGAACCTTTCTTCTTCTGTGTCCTGTCTGCAGTTAAACCTATCCAGCAAATTTTCATTTTAGTTCTAGAACTTCCATGTATTTTATAAGGAACTTTGATTTTCTCTCCTAAATCCTATATTCTTCACTTATCCTCTCCATATCTTTCTCTAAGTTTTAAAACATATTTGTAATTGTTGGTCTAAAGTCCTTGTCTGCTGGATACTGGATCATCTGTGGGTTTGCTTCTGTCTGCTGTGTTTCCTGTTGGTTTTTAGTCACATCTTCAAGCTTCACATGTGTAGTGATTTTCACTGCATCCTGGATATTGTTAATGACACGCTGAGGAGACTCTGGACTGTATCCTTAAGTCTTGTTCTAGAAGGTCATTAAGTTACTGGCAGATCATCTTGATCCTGTGGGGAGGCTTGGTCTTAGGCTTTTCTAGGGTGAGTATATGTCCGTTTTGACCTTAGTCCTGGTATGTGGTCTTTGTTCTTACAGCATGGCCCTTTTGGGGTTTCGAGGAATATGCCCAAGGTATACACCAAGCCTCTCCTACAGGGATGAGCTAGAACTTTGAACTCTTGTCTCTGAAGCCTGTGAAATCCCTCCTCAGGTCTTGAATGTTCCAGTTCTGCTGTTTATACACAGTTTGGGAGTCAGCCAAGGATTTGAGGAGAATTTATACATGCATTTTGGGGATCCCTCATTTGGGAGATATCCCCCCTCTATTTCCAGCCACACTGGCAGCGGCAGCCCCAGCCCCAAACTATACCCTCAACCAAGATGGCCTGCTACGTACTGCTAGAATTTTTATCCCTCAGTGCCCCACAGAGAGCCGGGAGGTCCCCTCAGAGGAAACCCAGGTAACTGTGCAGCTCACTGAGTGTCTTTCTTTTCTTTCAAAGACCATATCCCTCAGCTTTGGTTGACCTCCAGTGACTGTCAGATGTGCGTGTGTCCATCCATGGATGCATTTTGGACCAAAAGTTGCCTGTTAAATATAGTGAGAGACATGACAGATTAGGATGAGGATGGATAACCTTGTTTTCAGGATGGAATCCCTCTTATTTTTCAACTTAACGAATACAGTTAGTAGTTTTCCTATTTAACAACAATGAGAAAAGGACAAGAGGAAAGCAGGGCTTCTTTGGGTAAAAGAGAGTGTTTGCTGTGAAGTGTTGTTCCAAGTCTTTATCTAAACAAGGACAACAGCTAAAGCCTTGGTCACTCATCAGCTGTGGTCCGTGGGCCCTGAGGTGTGGCCTGAGAGTGTGTGTGGTGGGGGACAGGCGACGCCTCTGACTCCTCCCCAGGCCCTTGGCGAGGTGAGCCTGAGGGTCCCTGGCTTCCCTTTCTACTTCCGTCCCAGTATTTCAGACCCTGCATGCCTTCCCTGTGTCTGGATGGAAGCTGCCTTTACTGCAGCACTGCCCCTCTCCCAGGCCTGACGTTTCTGGGAGGGCGTGGACCCTGTCGCTCCTCCCTGTGGCCGTAGGTCTGCTCTGTGATGTTGCTGGCACGCCTGTGGTTCAGGCTGCATGCAGCCTCCGTGTGCATTCAGGTTCAAATCCAGGCGTTGTCACCGATGACTGGTCACTTTGGGCTGGTCCCCTGCACTCTTGGAGTTTCTGTTTCTTCATCTGAAACGTGAGATGGAAATACCATCCCTCCCACAGGAGAGCACGCTGACGGCTGGGAGATGTGAGAGGCAGAAAGTGGGGCCTTGGAGCGTCCGTGAGTGTGAGGGTTGGTGACAGTTACCCCAGAGGACCGCTTCCCCGGATCTCGTGGACAGAGCTCTCCCCAGGTCCTCCTCCCTTCCACCGCCCACGGCAGGGGCACCTTCCCTTTGGGTACCTGGCCCACCTCGAGGACAGTGATGGGTCTCACCCACATCTGTCGCCCCCATCCCCCACTCCGTGTGCAGCAGGGCCCTACGTGCTCGCACGAGCAGGGTCGCTGTGAACCCTGCCCTGTGCAGCGTTGGCGGGCGGCGAGCGTGCTGGTCGGCGCCCCCGGGGGCATTAGCGCCTCTTGGCAGGACTCCTGCCACCCAGGTCTTGCTGACAGGCAGCGGCATCCTAGGGGCCTGTTAATTAGTCCAAGTGGATAACGGCATCTCGGGATAAAAGGAGGGATGCTGGGGTTTGCTTATTAGGTCTCAGGCAGGAAAGAGAGGTATGGGCGGGCTCTCGCCACCTGTGACTGAGAACCCAGCTGAGCTTCCGAGTCCTGAGGGCAGCCAAGGACACAGGGGTCATTCCTCTGTGGACCTGGAGTCCACCCACCATGACAGGAAGCTGGAGCCCACCTTGGGGACTCGTACCCCCTCCCTCTGGAGCCAGATGGCACTGCCTGAGGGCAGGGCTGTGTCCTCCTGTCCTGGTGGCCTCAGCACAGGGCGGGAGGTGGAGGACGCAGGCAATAAAAGCCAAGAGAGGACAGCCCTGCAGCTCTTCACCTGTCCTTGAACCTGACTCCGTCTCCCCTGCAGCCTTGATCTGACCTCCTACCTGCGGTACTAATTTTGATGACCTGTAGCTCTCATGATGTGGAAACTCTTGGTTTGCTGGAGTGAGTAATAGAAAGAGACAGAGAAGAGCTTAAACAGAGAGACGTGTCCCATGGCGGGGCACCATCACCTGGAGCTCTAATCCTCACCGCCGGGGGTAGCAGATGCCGTGGCCTCAAGTGAAAGGAAATGCCAAATAACCGTGGCAGGAAGGGTTCCGAAAGCCTCAGAAGAGGGCGCTGGACTCCAGCCGTTTCCTCGTCGGTAAAAATGGGGCTAATGGTCGGAGTGTCCCTGCGAGAAAAGGCGAAGGCGCCAAGGGGCAGCTACAGTTAGAGATGCCGACACCATGGTCAGACGTGGTACAGGAGCCGTGGCCCCGCCGGTCACACTGCAGGTCACACTGCGGCTCTCACGGTGCTTTCATCCCTGTGCTCCGAGCTCTCTCTGCCTGCCCCTCATGCTGGCTCTTCCGCCCCGCAGGTACCGGTAACAGTATCGTGGTCGTGAGCACGGCTGGATTTCTTCATCGAGAACTGAAGATCGGCGAGAACTTTAAAGAGATAAGCACCTCCTTCCTGGGTTTCCAGCTCATGCCCGAGGTAACCCCGTGCGTCAGGTTGGGCCGGTGCCCCCGTGCCACTGGGCTGCCACCGCCCGCATCGTGACCCGCTCCACTTTAGCAGGAGCAGCTCTGGGCGGCCTGTGCCGGGTACGACGACATCTACGTTTGGAGCCTGCAGGACCTCGCCCAGCCCCCGCAGAGGATCCACCTGCAGGACTGCTCCAAGATCAACTGCATGATCCGGGTGAAGAAGCAGGTAAGGCGGCCCCGGGGCTGCTGATCAAGGCCTGGCCGGGAAGGACGTGGGTCTGGGGGTGCCCGAGAGAGCACCGCACACCTCTGAGTGGGCTGCTTGTGAGGTGCCCGTTTCTCCTCAGCAGATCTGGGTGGGCGGCACAGGGCTGTCGCAGGGAAGATCCAAGGGGAAGATCTACGTGATCGATGCCGAGAGGAAGACGGTGGAGAAGGAGCTGGTGGCCCACACGGACACGGTGAAGACCCTGTGCTCCGCGGAGGACAGATACGTGCTGAGCGGGTCCGGCCGCGACGAGGGCAAGATCGCCATCTGGAAGGTCGAGTAACCAAGGACGCGTGTGCCCTGTGAGCGCGCGATGCGCCCTCTGCCAGCTCCTGGCGCCTCCCCAGAGAAGGCGGGTCTGAGCCTGGGGCGGGGGCACTGGGGGGGCTCCGCTGCGGGGGCCTGTTGGGCTCCCTGGCCTCAGTTACGAGACCGATAGTGTCGCACTTTCTCTCCTGGACTTAGCTGATTAAACTGGACCGTTTCAGGCTGGGCTGCCTGTGAGGCAGCCTCTGCTGAGAAGTCACCCTGTGCTGTCTAGACGGCTCCAGAATCCACGACCTGGGCCAGCACCAGGCCACCCGGGAGCAGTTTAGCCGGAGCACCCGTGACCTGCAGACCTCGGGTCTTGCTCTTCCTCCACTTCACTCACTCGCCAAATACTAAGCACCAGATTCACAGGAGCCCGACAGCCAGACACTGACCTCTTGTTCGCAGCAAAGCTCATGAGAAGGGGGGTATTTTAAATGACCACGTTGTGGTTGAACAGGCTTGCGCCTGCCCTTGCTGTCCCCCGACAGAGCAGGTGACCAGCGCCTGCCCAGGGAGGGGGACAACACTGGGTTGAGGCTGTCGGGACAGGGCTGAGCCAGCTGACGCAAGCGCTGGGTTTTTTCCTTTTAACTAATGCAACGTTTTTTATAATGAAAAAACCTAGAGACTTTTTTCAACCAGAGGTCGGCGTTCCATCTAAAATAGCACAAACAAACCCTTACCAGATACTCGTGTCCGTTTCCGCTGCATCTGCATCCTAGGTGCACAGCGTGTATGTATATGTAGATGGTGCCTTATTATTTAACTGAGGATAATACTAGCTATGCTCTTATCTTACTAGCTATAAATATTTGCAAAAGGGACCTTTTGTACATTTTTACCATTACCGTTGAGCTGTCGTCCCCCAGTTGTCAGCAAGGGAGGTTTTGGCACCGCTGCACTGCGTGAAGGCTCGAGGCCTGTCCCCTACGGGCCCACGATGCACTCTGCAACAGGGGGCTGGCTGGCTGCCGGACCCTCCCCCCTGGGCTCTGGGGACTTGGATAGACATCATGCTGGACCTCGCTCACCCTGAGAGGTCTGTGAGGGTCTCTGTCAGGCCCCCAGCACACAGCCAGGCTTCAGAGGCATCTGCAGTGCCTCCCAGGTGAGAGCTTTGGCCAGGCCTCCGGCTGTGTCTGCAGAACCCAAGCATTCTGGAGGGTCTGATCACTGACTGACAGTTTGGAATGTTCTGAGACTGTGGTGTGGAGAACAGCCAGGCGGCCTAATCCGCCCCTCCCCCCCCCCACCCCGAGTCTGTCCTTCTGGGGAGGGTGTGTTCCCAACTGACTTCTAGAAGGAAGACTAGGCCAGCAGCAAATGGCAGAAGGTGGAATTCTGCTTCTGTAAACACATGAAAAATTAGAGTAAAAGCCTGTCAGAAATCCACATAAATTATTGAATTCCAACCCACATGTAACCAGGTATTTTCACCTCGTTGGTAATAAATTCTCTTTTTTACTAAAACACTGCTGTGCAGTTTCCTTAATTTATCCAACATTAACTGGTGGCGGCACTTAAAAATAATACAGGTCTGCTCAACATCACTAATTATTAGAGAAATGCAAATCCAAACAACAATGAGGTAGCACCTCACACCGGTCAGAATGGCCAACATTCAAAAGTCGACAGATAACAAATGCTGGAGAGGGTGTGGAGAAAAGGGAGCCCCCCCACCCCCACCCCTACACTGTTGGTGGGAATGTCAGTTGATACAGCCACTATGGAGAACAGTATGGAGGTTCCTTACAAAACCAAAAATAGAAGCACCGTATGACCCAACAATCCCACTCCTGGGCATATATCCAGACAAAACTCTAATTCAAAAAGATACAGGCACCCCAATGTTGATAGCAGCACTATTTACAATAGCCAAGACACGGAAACAACCTAAATGTCCATCGACAGATAAATGGATAAAGATGTGGTGTGTGTGTGTGTGTGTGTGTGTGTGTGTACAAACACACACACACACACACATATACACACAATGGAATATCACTCAGCCATAAAAGAATGAAATTATGCCATTTGCAGCCACATGGATGCAACTAGAGATTATTATACTAAGTGAAGTAAGTCAGAAAGAGAAAGACAAAATACCATACGATATCATTTATATGTGGAATCTAAAATATGACACAAATGAATCTATGTACGAAACAGAAACAGACTCACGGACACAGAGAACAGACTTGTGGCTGCCAAGGGGCAGAGGGTTGAGGGAGGGATGGAGTGGGAGTTTGGGATTAGCAGATACAAACTATTACATCTAGAATGGACGTACAACAAGGTCCTACGGTAGAGCACAGGGAACTGTATCCAGTATCCTATGATAAACCATATGGAAAAGAATATTTTTAAACAGTGTGTATGTATGTATAACTGAATCACTTTGCTGCTCCACAGCAGTAACTAACACAACATTGTAAATCAACTAGACTTCAATAAGAAAAATATTAACCCCGGAAAAAATTAATACAGGATCATTTTGGATTTGTTCTTGTTCATTCTAAGCACCTGTCAAGTTACTTTAATGCAGACTCTTCATTTCCTTTGTTCTTGGTGATAATTTCCAAGTTCTTATTTGACAGTGACTTGCAACTGAAATGAGTACAGAAAAATCAGAGGCTTTTAGGAAATGATCCTTTATATAAAAGAGGAAAAAGAGGTGAACAAGGGAGTTAAAAGGGGAGTAAATTGGCTGGTGCAAGTGTATGGTTCTGTATTTATGTAAAAAGAATCTTGCCAGTGGAGTTTGTGGAAATGAAAAGGGCACTTTCATGCCTTCGGTGTTTCCTCTGTGCTTTGGAGAGATTCCACGATGAACGATTTGTCATGGGAAGGCCCCAAATGAGCCAGAATTCATTAAACAGACAATGATGCCTTCCCTACCTCAGCTTTAGAAACCGGAATTAAATTGGTACCAAAAAGAAGTGTTTACCTTGAACTAGAAGCTCGTTTACTGTAATACAATTTCAGCTTCTCCAGCCGCATTTCAGACGATAGACAAGAAAGCTTGGTTTGGGGGCTGGCACGGCGCCACGATGACAATCAAAAGCTCAACCCACTCCCTGGTCACAGGGAATACTTTTATGATTTGTTCTCGGAAGATGCGAATGCACTGGTTGCTCTCAAAGGACAACCTTGGTATTGGATGTGATTGTAACATCTGAATTACAAGTGCATGACTTTGGCCCATTTCTAGGGGACTCCTTAGGAAGATGAAGCGGTGTTTTATCCACATGACTGGGGGGGGGGGG